TGATTTCTGATAAGGAAGCACTTGGAGGAGAAGGGTTTTGGGTTGATTTGGGTACTGGAAGTGGTGCAATTGCTATTGGTATTGGCAGGATTTTGGATGGTCGTGCTAGAGTTATTGCCACTGATGTAAGCCCCACGGCACTGGCAGTCGCCGCCTATAACGTTCAGAGGTATGGTTTACAGGTTAGTTTAAACTAAGCATGAACATGAATACTTATGGATAAGCCTTATAGCCTACTTTTCATAGTGACATTTTCTTTACTAATGAATGCTTTTGTTGATGATTGAGGTGCGTTTGATAATCGATTTGTTTTTTATTTTCTGTTTTTTGTGTTTGTCGTCTACTTTATAAACACAAAATGAAAATGTAAGTTAAAATTTTGGGCAAGCCCTTCCGGGCTGGTGATCTCTCTGTCATATTGGTTTAGAGGTCTCGAGTTCGAACCTTTTAATCAGCTTAATACCAAAAATCCTTGACATCTCTCGGATCAGAGCCTTGGGGCAGGCGTGGGTGCCCTTGGGTATAGGGAAGCAAAGCTCCGACTCCTAGTTATCTTAAAAAAATTAAAGACAAAATCGTTATCAAACAAGATTTAAGAAGGGTTCTCAGAAAGGACAACGATAATTTGAATTGTTTCGTTTATGGTAGCCGTTTATAATCTCTAGTTTCAATGTTGAATCAGGAGTTGATTGAGTTAAGGCAAGGATCATGGTACGAGCCGTTAAAGGATGTCCAAGGAAGGGTATCTGGAATTATAAGTAATCCTCCCTACATACCCAGCGATAATATTTTTGGCCTTCAAGCTGAGGTTTGTAAACATGAACCTAGAGTTGCATTGGATGGAGGCACTAATGGCATGGATGAGCTTATCCATCTATGTGATGAAGCTGCTTTAATGTTGAAACCTGGTGGCTTCTTTGCTTTTGAGGTACCCTTGTTTCCTAATTTCTACAAGTTTGTTACATTTAAAAAAAAAACATTGAAGTTTATTGTTTCGGGTTAAAAAACAAGTTTTCAGTTCTTTTGAATGTCTTTTATCATGGGGTAATTAGGAATATTTGTAGGCTAATAAGGGCATATTAGTTATTAACCAATTGGTTATAAATAGAGGAAGTGAGATGAGATGAAGGTAGACATTGATTTAGTTGGTCGAGACTTGAATGATCTCAGGACGAGTCTAAGTACCTCAAATTACTTCTTTCTGTATTTTTTTTCATCATCGATATATTTTTTGAGTCTCTAAGATCGATACCAGACTTCAAAGAAACACCCTCGACCTTTTGAAATCTTTGAAATCTATTTATAACATTGTCATTTCATCTTCTTGCAGACAAATGGTGAAGATCAGTGCAAGAATCTAGTGAAGTACATGGAAAGTATTCACAGAGGGAGGTTTTGCCATCTGGAAATGGTGTCTGATTTTGCAGCCATTCCTAGATTTGTAACTGGATTCCTCAAAGAATAGTGTCTTTCTTGATCTCAGCTGAAGCTGCCTACTTAAAAAAAACCAACAAAATGAGTTCAGATCAATTCACATTCAGCTCTTTAGTCTAGATTAGATAGCTGTTTTTAATCTCATCTTTTCTAAGCTTCAAAATTATTATAAGCTCCAAATACAAATTAGAAGCAAATCATTTGTTGAGCATTTTAGGAACACTCCTGCATTGGGATAGCAGAAGAAGCCCAAGTTTGATGTGATTCAATTTTGTGGGATTTCAATTACTGGTAATCACTTATCTTATCTTACTATATTACTATTTTACTATTGACCACCGTTGCAAACGAGTTATCATTTTTTTAAAAAGAGCAAAAAAATGCTTCTCTTCCCATGTTTCTCTCTTATTATGTTAAAATTTGTTGGTCAACAAGAGATGGGATCAGAACAGGGCTAAGCGATCTGTCGAAGCTGTGGGACGGAAAAATGCATCGGCAAGGGAGCGTTCCGCCTTAGAGGGAAGCACCCGTGCGAGCGGTGGTGGACGAAGCGGAAACGAGAATGTCGGCTTGAGTAATGCAAACATTGGTGAGAATCCAATGCCCTGAAAACCTAAGGGTTCTTCCACAAGGTTCGTCCACGGAGGGTGAGTCAGGGCCTAAGATCAGGTCGAAAGGTGTAGTCGATAGACAACAGGTGAATATTCATGTACTATCCCTTGTTGATCCTGAGGGAGGGAGGAGGCTAGGTTAGTCGAAAGATGGTTATTGGTTCAAGGATGCAAGGTGCCTCTGCTTTTTTAGGGTAAGAAGGGGTAGAGAAAATACCTCGAGTTAATGTTCGAGGACCAGGCGCTACGACGCTGAAGTAACCCATGCCATACTCCCAAAAAAAGCTCGAATGACCTTCAACAAAAGGGTACCTGTACCCGAAACCGACACAGGTGGGTAGGTAGAGAATACTTAGGGACGCGAGACAACTCTCTCTAAGGAACTAACACCTAAATATTGTTTGAGTTTCAATTCTTCTAATGCTCTTTATGATCTAACTTGATCAATCATAATATTTCACTCGTGATCTGGTCAGGTCCAATCATGATATTAATGGATAAGGTATTTTCTCGAAAAACACCGGATCCCGAGAAGAGTTGAAGATGGTGCAAGATCGAATCCTCTTACCTTACTTCGAATGGAAGCTTAGCCCGCCTCACTTGCTTTCTTTATTGTATAAGGGCACAAACGAAGTCAATAGATTTGCTAGTTGAATAGATTTCCTTCTAACTAGCAGGAGCTACTCCAATCCCATTTTTTGTTCATTCTAAATATATTTGATTTGCATTTCAAATTCAATTTGTATCGTTACCTTTTTCTAATTCCTTTACGATTAAATTTTAGATATTTTTACCGATTTTTAAAATTTTAATGAATATAGATACTAGTGTAGTTTTATATTTGAAGAAAAGAATTTCAAAAGAATTTATTTATTTTTATAATATAAAAAGGTTTAGATTTTAAAGTAGTAATTTTGTTTTAGATTTTACATTTTCAAAGATTCTATTTTGGATCTCCAATCTTTCTTTAATGTTCTTAAGTGGTGAAAAATAGAACCACTAACACAAACCATATCTTGCATAATTCCATCATATCCTCCGATAAATCCTGATGCAATTGATATTTTCTTCTGAAAAACGATGTATAAATTTTGAATAGCAAGCCCTGGTAATGACACATTAAAAATGTTCTACCCAAGTACAAATCTGAATGTGATACCTGAAAATTTGCAGTTTAATTACAACAGTACTTTCGGATCAAATTCTGAAGAACTCGCCATAAAATTATACCAACATCTCGAGCCAGACTGAGGGACTTCAATAATTTTCGGGAATGATCCAAAATGTCGTCTTCAGAGGTCGGAAGCAAGGGAACCAGTACTCTAACTTCATCACATCTAAGCTGGAGCCTAACTAACAAATCGCCCGAAATCGTTTGCTTCTAACATCATCACTGAATGTACCTCAGAGAATGGATCGGTATGGGTGCTTATAATCCCACCTTCCCAATAGAAGAAATGTTGCTTCTGCTTGTAATCTCTGTAGCAATTGCTTAATCATAGTAGCATATATTGATCGTTATTGAAATTCTTCAAGTACCTCTTCTTGGTTAGGCAATGGCTTCCTAATAGATTGAAATCCCATTTGAACAGTTCCACTAGCCAGCATTGTCTGCACGGCCTGCCATACAGTTAAAAAATCAAAATCTTTGATCGAAGACGAGCAATCTCAGAAGATAAGAGCATTGGTCTTATTTTTGACAGTTGGTAAATGAACAAAAAACAAGGGATTTATTAACTGAACTCTAATTTTTTATCATATACAGTACAGCTGACGAACAATAATGCTTAAATTACAGTACAAGGACCGACGGAGGAATAAAAATCCATAAAATTCAAATTTTAGTTCAACCATGATACTCCAAGATCTTTTGAAGTACAATTTCTTGATAAAATAGTGTAGTTGTCACTACACATGACAAACAAGCATCGACTGCCCTTGCAAATTATTGGGTAAAAAGGATTTCGACCATATTGTCTAACCTAGAGATTTTTGCACAGCAGAAGAATTTTTGACATGCTAATTTCAAAAAAAAAAAAGACACAGAGTTGGAGACTCGTGTAGAGTTCGAAGCTGCCATCAATAACTTGCATCAAAATAGTGACATTTTGACAAATGATGGTGTACAGACAGATTTCCATTTTGTTTTATTGTTAAAAGAATGTACATGAAAAACTGATTGCCTTGTACAAAGGTAGAATTGTTGTACCAAATGTGTTCAGATAAACAAACCTTCTCAATTTCATCTTGAAGAACAGGATTGTCTTTTAAGTATTGCAGAGCTCTGTCTCTTCCCTGTCCCAACCTTTTAGCAAACAAAGAAATAATAATAATAAGCGTAATAACAGGGCAGTGCGGTGAGCACAGAGCAAACTATTCTTTCGCCTTTTACTAAAAAATAATAATAAGCATAACAATAAGTTGTGTTTTAGTCAATAGATGACCAAGCTCAAAATTAATGGAACGCCTCTGAAGATAGGAAAATCAAGACACAAGAAGCAATAAATGAAGAAATTATGCACGCCAAAACTCACTCACAACCAAGTAGAATTCTCAATGACAGAAAATGGGAAGAATTTTATCTTGTTTGAAGAGAGGGGGTTCCCATTTGATTTGGTGGGTGGTTGTCTCCAGACTGATTGACTTTGGTGGACTGGATATTGAAAATTTGAGGATCTGTAATATGGCCATGTAGCCAAAATTGTTAGTGTTTCCTTTTGGAGTCGAATGCTTTGCGGCATAGGGTTATTGTGAGCAATCATACTTGAATGGGTCTTAGTTTGTGGGGCTACAGGCACACATGGGATGAAATCTTTAAAAGCTATCTCTTCGGGGTTCCCTTTCATAGGATTGATGCTTGCTTTTGGGAGGATTGATGGTTGGCACTTGGGAGACAACCCCCGATGTACATGGTTTCCTCATCTTTACTTCTTACTCGAGGATGGCCTTGATTGCTACAATCCTTTCTTCTTTGGGTAAATCCACTTTACATAATTTCAGATTTCACCATCCTATTTCGGATAAGGAAAACTTCTTATGTTTGGCTATACTCTCTGTTGGCCAATTTTCATTAGCATCCTGGGACTAGGAATTTCTGTTCATGAACCCCAACCCTTTCGAGGTTTTTTCTTCCATCTTTTGTTTGACCTTTAACTCTCTAGCACTAGTTATCCTTCTCTTATGGGAACCCCTTTCTCGAATCTACAATTTAGGTTTTTGTTGGGGTGCTACTGTGTTGGCCTTTGCTTTTTAGTTCCACTTGTATTCTTTCATTTTTCTCCATGAAAATCCGGCCACACAAACATAACCCTCTTTTGTAAAGTTTTATTGTGGCTGGCTTTTCTTTTTCGGGCCTGCTTGAACTCAACTTTAATCTCGAACAAAGCACAAGATCCCAAAATTAAATTCATTGTGTAATTTAAATCAAATATCCAATTATTTTCTCAAAAGACGGACTAATATGAGCACAAGACAAACCTGTGGTCCCCATAACTGTACCACGAGCCCTTTTTCACTATGACATCCATAATTTCAGCACAATCTAAAATGCAACCCTGTGGTAGGGAAGGGTAAAATATGAAGTTAGAACAGATAATATTTTGCACCTGCAAATTGAAAAATGCTCACTCCTACAATACTGACCAGTTTACTTACTCCCTCCCCAAAGATAATTTCAAATTCAGCTTGCTTGTATGGCCTCGAAACCTATAACAACCCATTTAGAAGAAGATATTTTATGTTCTGTGGAAAACGATTGGAAACTCATGGTGGCAGAATATAGCCTTTAAATCACAGGTATGACTACTACTTTAAGAACCAAACTAAATGCCTGCACCTGGAAAGTTGCAGATCACTAACATTCTGTCATATACCATAATAGTATAGTAAGAATATATCATAACAAACCATTTTATTTAATAGAAATGAGACATCTACAAATAGTTAAAATGACGAGACAATGTTACAAAGTGAAGGTCTGGTCCCCAATGAGCAATTCATCAATGCGATGTAATGTATTTTGAAAAATATAATAAAACATCAGGCGAATGCCTAAAACAACAAATTTTATCCAACTTCTCATGACGAGTCAATTTGGAGTTGGAGAAGTATCCTATTTGGAAGTCAAAAATTTATCTTGGAAGTTATCTTTTTTTCTTTTGATGACTGGGAGTCAGCTATACTCAGGGGCGGTGCCCCAGGCTCGGACATGGGAGACATCAAGGGTTCTTAGTAGTTATATTATTAGTTTACAGGAGTCTTTTTTAGGTTATTATCGAAAGAAATTTATAGTATAAAACAAGTCTTAGAAACACAACCAAAAAAAAATAAGAAAAGAATCACTCAAGTATCATTCCAATCAAATGCATCATATTGAAACTAAGTACCATTAATTTCTATTTGCAAATGAATATGTTCAAACATAGAATTGATACAAAGTCAAAGAAAAAACCCTGGAAAAGAAAAGGTTCATATGCATTGACAAAACTCTAAGCAAAAATTGTTTACCACTACAGTTTACCTTGCTCTTTTGCACCCTAACACGAACTCGTATCCCAATTTCTTCATCTCCTTTAGCCTTAAAAGAGAAGGAAGAACACAGAATAGGTTTCACTTCAATTTGATGTTATGACATTACTGTAATTGCTTCTGTACTTTCTAAATGAGAGTTCAATTAGTCTTTTTTTTTTCAAAAGAGAAAAAAACTATTAATTAGTTCAGGCAAACCAAATAAAAGAGAGCATTCTTACAGACTTTAGCTTCCCAATAGAACGTATTTCAAGTCGAAGAGAGGCAAAGAACTTTAGCGCAATCCCTCCACTTGTCACTTCTGGATTCCCATAATACACACCAATCTAATAAAATTCAGAATAACAATATTATAAATATTTTACATATGAGGATATTAATGCACTGACGGATATCACACAAGGTGCGAATATATGACTAAATTCAGTTGTCCCGGCCTAGCCAAACTGACCCCGTCTATTTTAATGATGAGAAGAGAAAAATTAAAGTCCTGTGGGGAAAAATAAATAGAAAAACAAAAGAACCCCCCAAGAAAATTTTCCCTGACCATTACCATGCATAAAATCTACCCAACTTTAAGGATTGGATTTATTAAACCTAATTGAACGGTGAAGGCAACCTTATATCGTATTTGATTCAGAAATATGAGAGTGCAACCAGCTTTTGAGGCATTTCCAGACATTTTACGCAGAGCTTGACTCATGAGGCGTGCTTGCAGACCCATTTGCTGCATACCAATCTCACCCTACAAAGCAAGGATATGAAAAGTAAGATTGGCAATCTCACAAGAAAGCTTCAGAAACTCAAGGAGCGATAAGTTACTTCAATTTCTGCTCTTGGTGTTAGAGCAGAGACAGAATCAACGCAAATGAGATCTACAGCACCAGATCTACACATACGATCCGCAACTGATATAAGAATATTCATCAATCAATACACAAATGTCACAAGCATCCATAGAAAAAAATCGCAGGCACTATTTCAAGCAAGTTGTGAACACAAACTAAACTAGGATATATTACTCTCAAGTGCCATCTCTCCATGATCAGGTTGGCAGACAATCAAATTTTCAACATCCACTCCCACAGCTTTAGAATATGCCGGGTCAAAGGCATGCTCTGCATCCACAAGCATCGCATTTCCTCCTAGCTTCTGCATGTTACAGCAATAGGTACAATTTTTCATCACAGACAAAACTAGTATGCTTCTTGTTCTAGTGTCTCCCAGCCTCTCGGTAAATGAAGTAAAAAACATTGAGAAGTAGCATTATGCATGTACCTGTACTTCTGCAATAGCATGCAATGCTAGGGTGGTCTTTCCACTACTTTCTGGTCCAAAAATCTGGAAAAAGAAAAATGATAAAAATGTCATCCTTTTTATGACAAAGTAAAATATTCAGTACACGTGACATTCATCAAATAAGAAAGGAGGACGCATCAACTACCCTTCTCCATTCTTGAAGCTGAATTTTCATGTGCATTTTATCTTCTTCAGGGCTCATCAAGTTTATTTCCAAAAGGCATCATCCCTAATTGAGTGGCCATTTTTGGTAGTTTGCAATAATAAATGGGCACAACACGATTTCAGTATGTCCTATGAAGTGAACTAGAGAAAATACTCTCATTAGTCATTACAAAGCAATTAGACAATTTCCATCTATCAACTAAAATACCCCACGAGTCCGCAACTTTGGTATGCCAATTTCCACAATTTGGGAAAACTCCTTCACCAATCACTTTTACATCAATGCCTTCCAATAGGTTGCATTCAGTGCACCTTGGGCACTTTAATAACCCACAATGTTTTTAAATGCTTAATACCGTTTTTGTCATTTTCTCACTTGTGACTGCAGACTGCCCTTCTACAACCTTTTTCTTCCTCCTACCTTTTTTGTCAACAAGTCACAGTATATCCACATTCCTGATCCTTTTGTTAGTTCGGATAGAAACTTGAACTTCAATAGAAGATTTAATTACAACATTCATGTGATGACTGAGTCATTTTCCATAATATACTGCATATATATATATATAGAGAGAGAGAGAGAGAGAATATTTATCCGCTTCCCACCTAGGCTTACCAATTTTATTCCTTGGTGAGCCTTGCACCTTATAAACACCATTTTTAAAAAAATATTACTCTACAAATGTAGGAAAAAACGAAGAAGATACAAGGGACTAGGGAGGCACCAATGTCTAAGCCATGCTCATGTCAACCTTAGAAACGCCATTTTGAACATATCATACAGCATTATCTCAGAATCCAATTCCAAAGATATGCCAATTGCCAAGTTACTAATTACTAGAAAACAATTTTTATCTTTAAGTTCAATAAACAGCAAAGGGAATTTTCAGAATTTTTTCCCCCCTCTAAAGAGAAACAGAGATTACATTGATAAATGAAATAATCAAAAGGTTATTTGCAGATATGAAGTGCCCTGATCATTCTCTTTTTCTTTTCTATTTTTCTTCTGCTAATTCTTTTTGGAAGAAAATAGTTTTTATAACACCTGCATCTTTTCTCTTCCGATTTTTGATTTAAAAATAGGAACAATTGCATATCACAACAATGTCCAATAGACTTTTCATTACCGTATTAACAGCTAACAAAAGAGAAAGAGAGAGAGGGAAAAAAAACCACACACGCACAACAAGAAGTAAACATACCTCAACAATTCTGCCTTTAGGAAGGCCACCACCTAAGGCACAGTCTAACGTCAAACAACCACTTGGGAAAGTTTCCCTGTATGGTAGAAAGAAACAGATATCTCCAACATTTAATTTGCATTATGATGTTTTAAGCAGTAAAACTCCAGGAATGATATGGGTAGTTGGTAGAGCAGTCTCAAAACTGTATATTAATGCATGTAGCGTGAAAGGGAAAGTCTCTGGCGCTAAAATATTTGAGATTTTTACTTTCAATTTGATATTGACAGATAACATGGTCTAAACCAAACTTAGTTATAAGCTCAAAAGTTTCAAAAGAAATATCCTAAATGACACGGGATACTTGACAAAATAGAAATCCAAATATCTCAAAAATTAAGCCTAAATGTTTCAAGCAGTAAAGAAAATAAGTATAAAACAATCCCAAACGTAGTTCTACAGTCTACTATAAAAATTTTCAACCCAGATTTTATATCCTACAAGTTACCTAGGAAACCAAATGTAGTAGGATCAGGTGGTTCGTGAGATTAGTCGAGGTTCGCGCAAGCTGGCCCGAACACTCACGGATATCAAAATAAAAAAAAAAATAATACATAAAAATAAAAATAAAAATTTTCAACCAGCCTACTACCATAGTTTTTTTTGGTGAGGCCTACTACCATAGTAAATCTACAAAAGTTAAAGAATCATGAGAACCCTGTTGACCAGGCGAATATTTTCAAGATTTACGGCTTTGTCATGAATAAATAGATAAATAAATAAGGGAGGAGGAAAAAGAAGAAGAAGAAAAGGCATACACTAACGCTCCACCAGCACTTCCGAGCCGTGTAACACTTCCTTTCCCAAATGAGTTATTTATGTCATTCATTGCCGCTTCCAATGCCTTTTTCTGGGACAACACAAAAATTGCAAACTCTGAGAAGCTAACAACTAATAAGTAGATAACTGCTGGAAAGTAACATAATAACAAGGAAATATTCATTTTCAAATGTTAGATTCGCATATGGTCTTTTCTCCCCCTAATGTGTGCTAATGACATTGTTTCCATTTCTATTTTCCACATTTAACAATTGACAATCCTAAACAAACCTTTAGAGGGTTCCAAATCGATACACACATTTTTACTGCTGATACAAACACAACAAATATATGAAAAACCGAAGAGCTGCCATGAGCCACTTAGTTAGTTTTCACCCTCCCTGTTCCGTATAGACTCGTGTGAAATGATTCAAGGGTTTCAGAAATAAAGCCATTATTCAGCCGAAATCAGTCACGACTCATGCAATTTCCAAAAACAATCGATATTACATTTACTCCAACCCACCAACACTCCCGATTCCAAGTTCCTTTTCCTCCTCCAAACGAAGTAAACGAAATGCCCATTCACGTGAAAGCAATGGCAACAAACCACGACAAATGAAGAAAACACATTACAAACAGAGTCGAACAACTTCTAATACAAAATTAAATAAATCGAAATAAGACAACAGCACACATGAAGCGACGGAAAGCAAACTCGGAGAAGAAAGAAGCAAACGAATACCCTGTCGACGGAGCGAGGGTCGAAATCGCCGGAAAGAGCGCCATTAACATTAGCTTCGAACTCGCAGCGGAGGTTCCCAACTCGCCTGCCGGAAAGGGACAGTGAAGGCGGCAGACAATGGCGCCGCCGGGAAGGTGTCGCCCATGGCGGCAACAGAGTCCGGCATGGGAAAGTCTTGCAGGTCAGTGGGTTGGAAACGAAATCCATGGGCGAAGGGAAGACAAAGAAACACTAAACAGTAGCAAAGAGAAGCGAACAAGGCAAACGCATTAATAGTCAACGACGTTGGTTTGACGCGGTAAAATAAATAAGTAATTTTGTATAAAAATAATAATAAAATAAAATAAAAAAGAAGAAGAAGCTAAATAATCTGTGGCCGATCGTGGAGTAGTACCGTGAGGGAAGGGTGAAAATCCCATCGAGGAGTGAAATAGAACATGAAATTGTAGGCTTCCAAGTGGTGGGAAGAGACCATAACTCTTACTGTATGCCTGTTAAAAGGAGCCCACCAAAGTCGCAGTGAAAGCGAATCTTCATGAGATATTGAACCTAGGTGATCTACGATTAAGATGAATGTTGGATAAAACTAAGTAGAAGTCCAAACATACCTCTATATATATATATATATATATATATATATATATGTATATATGTATGTTCTTGAGGGTCATTCCTTTAAAGGGGATAAAAAGTTCTCGTGGAAGAATTGTGTTCGAGCCTTTACATGGATAACGTGGAAGGAGAGAAACCATCGTATCTTCAAAGATTTAGAGTCATCGTTAGATTGGTTTTTCGAAACAATTACCTTTTTGGTAATTACATGGTGAAAATGCTCTCCTTTTTCCACGGTTGTAACCTAACTTGTTTACTATAGAGTTGGAAAAGCGAGGTATAATCTTTCTTATTGAACTCTTTTGAAATTTCATACATGAATGGAATTATTTTTTCAATATATATATATATATATATATATATATATATTTACCTTTTTTTAACAAAAAGTAAATTACATAAAGAGTAGGCAAAGTGTCGGAGGTCTGAATCACTGGTGTACTATAAAAACAAGACTAAATACGTATTAAATAGTAGAAAATTATATGATTGTATTTTGTAAAAGTTTTCTTACATTTTGTGTATTTTTTTTACAATAGAATCATTTTAAAAATATTTTACAATACAATAAAAATATTGATTCACCTAAAAAACTTAAAACTATAGAAAATATTTAATAAGTGTCGTATGAGTGTTTCATCCTTTTCCTAACAAAATTTGTAGTACAAAGAGTGGAGGTTTGAAGTTGCAATATTTTAATTGCAAGCTCGAAATAGGGGATTTCCAAAAAAATCATCTAACAATACCTACTTTTAAAAATCTACCACGGTAGGCATATCCTTAAAATATTTTATTAGTTTATGAAAAGTAAGCAATGTACGATGGAGGTTGATGAAGCTGAAGCGATGGCGATCAAAGAAAGCTTGGTTGTGGTTATCGAGATGAGATTCACTTATTTGCAAATCGAAACAGACTCGTTGCAAATTTCCTCCATTATCAAATCCAAAAAGGAAAATCGATCATTGATTGGTATGATTGTTCAAGATATTATTAATCTATCGCGACATCCAAGGGAAGTGAATTTTACTCATTGCAAAAGATAGAGGAACAAGGTAGCAACAAAACTTGCAGTGGAGAAGGGACTCACAGGAGTTTGGCTAGAGGAAGTTCCGATGGATTTGGAGGGAGCTATTTGCACGGACTTAGGGCTCGTTGAACAATGGAGGTCTATTGTTCTTTAATTTTCTTTTGTTTTTTGGTTTCCAATATTGTCAAAAAATAAAAAATAAAAACACTGTAGGCATTTTTTTTCTTACAAAAATATAAAAATCACATATATTTGTGACGAATGCACCAATATTTTGATCCATTTCCCTTTAATTAAAAGAATATCTTCGAAGTCGCTGGTCAATTCTTTAGTTTACACTGTCCTTTATTTTAAATACCTAAGAAGAAATTATAAAAGTTATCCCTATATTTCATGGTCGGAATTAACTATTTCCTATTAATACTAATGAAAAAAAAAGAAACGGCATAATATTTTTAAAGATTAAAACTAAATTGTCCACCTAAATTTAGTTCAGCTACTTAAAGCAACTAGATCCAATCTCATCAATTTAAATTTCCACTCACACTTGTTAAAATAAAAATATTTATGAATTAAAAATAATTTATAAATAATAAATGACCAACGATAAAAAATTCTAATAAGTTTGAACTTTGCATGATGGTCTGTTGCATCTCCCAATTGTATTTGAAAACGTTTTCGCATCTCCTGATTGTATTAAAAATACCGAACACGAAATAATTGCATCTTCTGATTATATTAAAAATATTGAACATGGAAAATTAATAGGAGAATGCAAAATTTGAAGTTATAATTTTTGGTTTTTTAATCAATTGTTCAAATAAATAGATAATTCCTTTTGGAGTAGGTTCTTCATTTGAAAATCACAAACTAGTAAATCACGTGATAACGTTAATGTCAATAAACTACTCTATCAGAGTTCTACCTAAAATAGTATTCCACAGACCAAGTTACCAAAAAATTATTTCTAAGGTTTATTTATTTTTTATTTTTTAATTTTTAAATACAAATGTTAAGTATATTGCAAGAAAAAGATGGATCTCACGGTCTGAGATAAATTACAAATCAAAATAGAGACTTGCTAAAAAAAATATTAGAAACACCACCAAAAAAGTCAACAACGCAACTATAGCAAACAAATAATGGAGGAAACACCACATGTTTTATAAGATGACACAATATAATGACCCGTTTATGGAAATAAATCCCAAGCAGACTCATCCTATCAATAGTCGGGAACTAGAATAAACGCTATCACGCCAAGTAGTGCACGAACATAAACAACACTCTGGACCAAATATTGGTATAACTATTTGAAAAAAGAGAAGACAAAACAAAGAAACACCGAGTCTATGAGCACTCAAACAATCAGTGTTGCATTTAATCAACCATGAATTAGGCTTTAAAAAGTTCCCCACATATGCAATAAAATTTACACTTGGGAAATTAAAAAAAGAGAAAAAAAAACCCCTTTTACACTATAATCCTTCTGAGAATCACCATTTTCTTTACAACAATCTTTCTGGTTTCTTCTTTCTCCATTTTCTCTTCTGGTCACCTGTCCCATAAGCTGGCAATGTCATCTCCAACCTCAGATAAGTAGCTGTCAGAGCTGCCCTCTCCCATGCTGGGTTGCCCTCTGAAGGAGTTGGCATTTGCTTCCATTTTAGTGATGTTATTTAGAACAACTTTCACAACCTTTGAATCACAGCCAAAAGGGTCTAAATTTGATGAACAAGTGCTTGAATTTGGGAATCCTCCAAACATGGTGGTGAAGTTCTTGGTGTTGGTTAGGTTTGGCTCCATTTGTATGAGGTTTGATAGAGATGGGATTGTCTGGTTTTGAGCTAAAATGGAGAAGCAGGGCACTTGCTCATACTCATTTAAATGGCTGCTCGGGTTTTGGTCGAAACTGATGTACGAATCCATTAGAGCAGGGAGAGACGATGAGGCGGTGGTCATGTCGTTGTAGCAGCTGCTGCTACCAGAGCTCGGTTGGGTGGCAACTTCCTTGTGTTTACAGAACAATCTGCACAGAACCCAGTCCTCCTGTGCAGCAAAGCACAAGCCACAACCAGTGAAAAATAATGCACTAAAAGCCTCACAGAAGTTGCCATTATCTAAAAGTAAACTAATTGGCCTTGGCCCTTAGACGCAATCCTTTAACATGAACAAGAAAATGAGCCGTTATTTTCTAAAAAAAACAGCTCAGAAAGGAGTGTTTGTTTGTTTGTTTGGTTGCCCCCTTCCCCAGGATCAACGGAGGATCGTATGAAAAATAAATTTAAAAATAAAATAATTATTTTAAATTTAAATATACATATGGAGGATCATAAAATCTTTCTCGATCAGCTACTAACATTATTTTAAAGTTTTGAAGAAAGTCATCGCATGACAGCAAATAAGACAACGTCGGCTCGGGTGAGGGAGAATTTATAAAGTCAAAGATTTCACTGCAAGACAAAAAAAAAACCAACTAATTCGGCGATCCTCAATATACAAGTTGCATCCATACATTATTTTATGCAAATCCAAGTCAAACTAAAGATTAGACAAAATGGATGTTAGGATACCAAGTGCCAACTATAATGTTTGAAGGATAATTTCTGATTTTGATAAACAGTCATTTTATGCAAATTGATATTAATTTCTTTCGGATGAAATTCAAACCCAAACCAGAGAGATTCAACCCCAATAATTTCATTACCAATGTCACAATCAAAACATGGCTATATGGTTAAATGGTGCAGAAAAATCCGTACAGCAGTAGTAAATAAACCCCTCGAACCAAACAAAAACTTCAAAGTGAAACCATAACGATTGAGTCAATATATTCAACAATACCCAACAACTATATAAACTCACACCAATCAACAAAACAAAAACATAGAAAAATTCGTACAGCAGCAGTAAATAAACCCCTCGAACCAAAAAAAAAACTTCAAGTGAAACCATAACGATTGAATCAATATATATTCAACAATACCCAGCAACTAGATTAACTCACACCAATCAACAAAACAAAAACATAGAAAAATCTCAAAAAACTCATACGGACATTTTCACAAACACATGGAGGGCAGGTCAGAGAAAAAGGGAGAATCAGTGGTACCTTTGGAGAGGAATCTTTGAGAGGAGAAAGGGGACCCTCGAGGCGAAATTCATGCATGACCCACTCGGTTTTGCGGCCTTTAGGGGCCCTGCCTTGGTAGAAAACAAGGGTTTTTCTCATGCCAACGAGCTGGTTGGCCCTGTGGAAGACGGGCCTGTCCTTGCCAGTGGCCTTCCAGTAACCTGAGGCGGTGGCGCGGTTCGTTCTCAGCCCCGTCGCGTACTTACGGTCCCTCTGGCTGAAGAAGTACCACTCCTTTCCCCCCACGCATGCCTCTCCTGTACCATGCAAAATACAAAATTTACAAACCAAATTCATAAATTATAATATTTTGTTCTCAATTTTTTTTTTATATCCATGAGTCCGAATCAGTTACGCGTACCTCTCACGGGACAATTGCTGACTACAATATTTGGTGTCATAAAACACATACGAATTACTAATTACTAAGATAAGTAGCTATCATAGGGCTTGAACTAATTCCAAATTTTAAAAAATAAAAAGTAAATTTTGAGTTAGATAATGTAATTTCATCTATGATATTTGACACTTTTATGAATCTTTTTTATAATTAAGTTCTCACTATCTTTTAATGTTAAAAAATAACGATATATGAATTTTAAAATGGTAACTTTTATAAAGTTACTATGGTTGGTATAACAATATTTTCATGTGGGTTAATTTTTTCACAGCCACAAACAATAATATAATAAGTTAACATGTGTTGAATTATATAAGATGAAAAAGTCTTTTTATTTTATGAGGGAATAAAAATTCAAATATTAGAGAGAAAAGCTATATTTAGTTTTTTTCCCATCATTTTTCTATCTTTTATACCGTCAAATAATACAAGAAAATATCGAAATACTAAGGAAGCTTATTGAGAGAATTTAAAGTTTTTTGAAATTAATTGAAGAGCGGTATTGTCAATAATATTATGTAATTCAAGCTTAAATTATCTTATAAATTGAAAATGCATTTTAATCGTGGCAATAAATTAAATTATTTTTAAAAGGGTTGAATTCTCAGTTGGTCATTTATTTAAATTTTTATTGGATTTAAGTATTAAATTTGCTACCCACTACCTAAATCTCTTGACTTAAACGATAATGCCATTTAAAGTATTGGAATAACTAAAAACGCAATAAGTCATAGGAAAAATACATCTGATACAATACAACATTATAGTCAATTAAATTAATTAGTAAAAAAAAAATTCCTAGTTGGTATGTAAAAAAAAGTACATCTAAAATCATTACTTAAAAAATATACTTTTGGTTCTTATACTTCCATTGAAATAACGGTTTAACCATGAACTATCAGTCTTGTACTTTCAAATTAGATGAAAAATCTCATCAAAATTAAATGTCGATTTTTATTATGTAATTTATAAACACATTTAGTCTCTCGTACATATATGAAAAATCTCATTAGATCTTAAAATTAAAATTTTGTAGGATGACGTACAAATCATTACAAATTTCAAACTATAAAAACTAAATTATTACAAATTTGAAAGTACACGGAGTCTAAATCATTATAAACTAAAATTTGTAAATTAAATAGTTATTTCAATAAAAATACTGGAACCAAAAGTAAAATTTAACCCTACTCAAGGAAAAAAAAAGAAACTATAATAGTTCACTTCTATATTAAATATATATATATATATATATATATACACTTTTATTTATTTATTTATTGTGAGGTGAAAATATAACAGATAGTTAGCATTTATCAATGAAAGGAATCTTTGGATGATGAGTCATCAATATGGATGAACCACATCCGAATTATATGTGTAGTTCAAGTGTCAATATCAATCACCATTTAAAGAATTATTGAAAATTCAAAAAAATTAAGGTGAAAAACGAAGTTAAAGATTCCTAATTAAATCATCTTCAAAGGTAAAAAAGCATACATAGCAGCAAGTCATGAAAGTGACAACCCTTATTGGATTTGGTAAGGACTCAAAATTAAATTAGTGGGAGAAAAGAGAGAGAGAAGAAAATTATGGCTTTCCAAATTGGAAATTATTTGATTTGAATTCTACACTTTGAGGGCTGCCATTGGGTGGGAAGGAACAAAGAACAAGTTGATGATATTTAGGGTTGGAATTTGTTGGCTTGTAGCTACCAATCACTCTCACACCTTTTTTTGGTTGGGACAAGGCCAAAAAATGTCTATTCCAGCTGCTTAGACTTCAATTTGGAAAGTTTTGATTCATTCTTTTTTTTAATAATATATAAATAAATTTCGAATTTGAACTTCCGATAATATATATAATATACGTCTTAATCAGTTGAGTTATATTTAAGCTGACATATCTATATATATATATATGATCATATATGAGAAATATTAGAAATATCATATAAAGATAAATCTCAATCATTCAAAAATAAATCAAAGAGGAAGAAAAAGATTACGTGTAATATATATTAATCTTTAGTTTATTTTCAATTAAATTAATTAATATCGATTGTGTAAGATGCATATATATATATATATATATATATATATTATTTCAATTGTTTTTTAAATTATCTTCTTATTATTGCGGGCCTTGGGCCTTGGAACTCAGAAAGAGAGAAAGAAGAGTTATCTCAGCTTAGGAAAGACTTAAATGAAGAATGTTGACATTGCCCCCAAGAAATAACTATCATGAAATAAATAATTTAATAATCTTAAATATGGAAATATCACCATTGGTATAAATATTAATCATGAAACTGGAAAATTTACCATTTTGACCCATTTATAAACAGTCCTTTTTTTTCTTTGGAAAAAAAAAAATACTATGTTGAGACAAAAAGGTCTTGAGTTCGAACCTAACCCCAATTTAAAAAAAAAATGTAAAAAGAACCTTTAAACCATCAAGCATATGAACTGAATTTTCCAATTTATAAACTCAAGCCTAGCAGTAGCATCTTATGCTACGAATTTGTTAATTTTGTGGTTACATAAACTCAAAAAACTCAGAAACTTTTTTTGAAACCGACCTTTTTTCTGCATACCTATGCATAAATTCAAGTTTTACAATATTCTCACTACACAAATTCAAACGAATGGTTTTCAAGATCAGCATAGAACATCTCCCAAATCTTCAAGAAAAACAAGATATTCACCCGTCCAAACACAGCACAAGTGAATAAAACATCTAATACCATCAGGCGATAGTTCGATCTTCCCTTCCCACTCGCAAAACAAAATATCTTAGGATAAACTCGTTATTAGCTCTCCGTTTTCAGAAGAAGCAAGGAATTCGAGTAAGAAAGAAGAAGAAGAAAGCAAAAGAAGAACACACACAAAAGAAGAAAAAAGATTTGGAAATCAGGAAATAACTTACTTGGAATATCCCATGGCTCGCACTTATTGAGATCAACTTCAATCAAAAGAGAAGAAGAATCATCACACACAGAGCCGATCTTCTTCATCAAATAATCACAAACCAATTCTTCATCTCTCGGATGGAATCTAAATCCAGGGGGCAGCTTCGCCTCCACCATGCTTATATTATTCTCCATTTTCCTTCTCTCTCTCTACAACACTTTTCTTCTGCAAAATCACAGAATTAGGAGAGAGAGAGAAAGGACAACAAAGAAAATTGAATATGATGATGAATGAATAATAATACAACTTATGATCAAAAGGTTAATTTTTTCAAATTATAAAACTCTGCCTCTGCCCAAATACTATACTACGTGTATATATACAAAAATATGTTTTAATTAATTTAATAAAATATTACATGGAGGATATTTTTATATTTCGTGTGGAGGTTGAATGTCATCAAATGATTCGTTTAAAAAGATCATAGGCACAGAGATTTTTCCTTTTTTTTTTCTTTTCAATAATTATAGCACAATATCTTATTATTTTAAAATTTAATTAATTCCATGAGGCAAGAATATTACACAATTTTCTTCGGTACACATTTGAGTTAATTAATTAATTAAAAATGTATGAGAGAGAAAGAGGGAGAATCTGGTTGGTTTGATGAGTTATGGAAGGGTCTGTTTGGAAATGTGCATCTATCTATTTGGCATTTATTGGTATGTCAACATTATTAAATTTTTGGATTATGTAAGAGTTGGCACCTGAATCTAACCAATCTTTAGACTCAGCTTCTTCAATATTCTAACCTCAAAATCTGGCTGCTATTACCGGTTCCTTCCCTCTCTCCAATTTGGTGAATTTTAATATGGGAAAAATATAAAATTCAGAGAAACTAATTAAGAAGGCATTCATAATTATCTAGACATGCATTGGACTAACTTAATTGAATTGATTGTGCATGCATCATTAAATATTCACATGTTATAATGGAATAAATAAAAGGATGACTTGTAATTTGCCTTTTAATTGTATCAACAAATTTATCATCCGACACCTAACTTCAAGAATAATTTATCTTTTACAAGTGTCAATCTAACATAGTTCAACTAGCTAAAATAAATGCCAAAACGAGTAGCGGTAATTGACACATATCTCCAATCAAAAAGTTGTGAATTCAATCCTCCACTCCACATGATGTACTAAAAAAAAAACTAAAATATATCTATCTTAAAAGTCTTTAAATCTCCACCCATGTTGAATTCATAAATAAAAAAATAAAAAAGAGAGTTATAATAATCTTTTCAATAAAAATATTTGGTAATTGCAAGGATAAGAAGAAAAAATTTTGCCAGTACGTTTTACAAAAAAAATATTGATAAATTGCTTTTTCATTCATTTTATTTATTTAAATTTATTCTTATCTTCAATAAATAATTAAACTTAGTTGATTAGGAACATAAATTGGCTGAGGAGATTTGAAACTTCAAATTTTTTTTTTTTTTCTGAAAAGCAAGGTTTGGACCAATTAAGATATACTCTAATCTTATCAACAATAAAGATACATTTCTATCATTATGTATTTGAAGAAAGAACTTGGTTCACAACAAAGTTCGTAAGCACTAAATTTTTGTTTCATTGAAAACCTAAGAAATCCTCCATCAGTGAGTGTTGTGGAGGAGGCCCCTTCAGTCTATTGGGCCAATTTTGGTCCTACCAGTCCCTAGAATTAATGTAAATACAAAGATTTAAACGTGGGCATTGTCAGTTCAACGAATAATATTGAGATGTTTATCGATAAATCTCACGGTTACAAAATTGACAGTCATTTATACATTCATCGCATTTAACTGTCAATTTTTTAACGTTTGTAATCGATAAATAGCTAAATATTATTTTGTTTAGGCTAGTTCCCAAGGAGAAGTAAGATCTCTCTAAACTTGTACTTGTGACTTTAAAATATTTCTTTCACAATAGGAAGTTCCACTAGAAAAAATTCTCTAAAGTTGTCGTTCATTTAGGAAAAAGACTCTGTGGTCTACAAATTTTTCTAGACCCCCCCTTTTCTCTGTGGATAATATTCTCAACTTTCTAGTGAAGGAGACTTGGAATCTTTTACTTATTATTAAAAAAAAAATCAAACTCAATTTCATTATTTTAAAATAAACTCACTTAAATTCAAAATGTCCAATTAAAATGCTTTTATTCAATCAATGTCCGAAAGTTTCATATTTAGGAAATGACCACGTAATTGTTTTTTTTATATGAACTATGCTCTCTCTGACCCATCCAACGATTTGTTAACACCTAAATTTAGGTTACTATAATACAAAGTAATTTTAGGAAACCTATGGACATATTAAATATATGCAAGTTCAAATTTTAACTCAAACTAATCTAAAAAAAATTTATAACTCCAATTCAAACACCAACCCAAGCATATTGAATTAAATTTCAGGTGTATCATCATTTGTGTAAAAAAAAAAAAAAATTGACTTCATGTGTTAAAGTATGAAAAACGTTACGGGCTCAAGAATATTTTTATGATATCAATGTTCCCTTTTACAGTGTACTATTTTTTTAATTGAGTATAGCTCAACATCACTGCTTCATCTAAGAGATTATAGATTCAAGTTCGCCACCTTCATATAGGTTTTTTTTTTTACAAGTGGGAGAATTTAAATTCTAAATGAATTGTTCAACACCATCTATATATAAGTATATATATTATAATTGAGCTATTACTGGATAAGTTTGATTTTAGAGTTGAATATGGAGAAAGGGAAATAATGGACTAATGTGAACAAATTCATTGAACCATGCATTTCTAACAATGGCATGAAATATTTACACATATTTTTTAATATAAATTTCAACAATTATGAAGTGAAGAATAACTGTTAAGATAGTAAATTGGTACCTTATTCACTAAGTTACGCTACTTGGCATATAAGATTTGGAGTTAGAAGGCTAAATTTGAAATATTTTTTTTACTACAACATGTGGAGTGAAGATTCAAACACACGACCTCTTAGTCGGAAATACATACCTAAATTTGAAGGATTGTTTTAATAACTTTGGGCTTATAAAGTCTAGAGTCGAAAAGCCTTTTAAGTTTGAATAATCTATTTCTAAATTGTACATAGGAATAAGTTATAAAAACCAAAGGCTGAGTAACCTACTCATTTATAATTGGTAAAAGATAATATTTATCATAAAAGACGAGTTTAATGAAGTTAGGTTTATGTAATCTATCAGGTTAATCCGTAGTCTTAAGACAACTATCTAAACTCACATACCAAATAAAGATTTGATTTCTTAACCCAAAACTACACAATCATAACCCATGAGCTAAAAAAGAAGACTCCCTTATAATTATTAATTAATCCAGTGTGCAGCTATATGACTACCAGCAACATGGTATGTCTATGGCCTATAAAAGAAAAATGAGGGAAAAAGAACTGGGCCCAAGAGGCCCATTCTAAAATAACACACAAAATAATACCAAAAAACGCATTTGAAGATTTTATAATTGCTGAGAAAATGTACTATAAAAATAGTTGTTTTTAATAGTTTGAGAGACTGGTGAGAAAAAAAAAGGAAAAAAAAAAGCTTTTCCGCCGCCAATTCCAAGTAGAAGATAAAGAAAAACGATAGGGTCAACTTATAAAAAGTGACAAAACTTGTACAAAGTTTTTTTTTTTTTTTTTGAAAAATATATATAGTGACTATCTTATAATTACAAAATAATAAATCAGTTGATAATTTTAAGTAACTATGAAATTCTATTCAATTTCATATGTTCAATAATTACTTGATAAGATTCAATGTTAATTTCAAGTTCATATGAGATCAACTATCAGTTCTAAAATAAGATACATGTTTTTCTAAAATTGTTTTTTCTAAAATAAATATTAACAAAAAAAAGTAATAATGACAAAGAATTGTTTGTGCAAAATTTAAGGAATAAAACAAAATATTCCAAAGTTCAAAAGTAAAATAAAACAATGAAAGTTTATCTACTACAACGTAACAAATCCAAAAGTTTTGAGGTTCAAAATATAATTTAAATCCAATTTATATACTAAATTATCGATTATAAAAAAATCATACTTCCCATCTCATAAGCCGATATTTTCTTTTAATTATTGAATACGATTTTGGTAAAAAGTTACCAACCAAAAGCTTAGTTTAGCAGTCAAGACGATCTTTATCTCTCCTAAAGGGTCGTAGATTTCAATTCCCACTTCATATTTATGACGTAATATTCTACATAGTAATTAAAACACTAAAAAGAACTCAACCCTTATCTAAACTCCATCAACATCCTAGCCCTTCCCAATCTAAAGCTTAATAATTTTTATTATGATGGAGACATCATCATTCATCATTCATCATCCCACACCATCCATTATCCAAATGTATTCAAACCTTTGAATACATTATTCCTTATAGATATGCTCAACTTTCCCAAAAGCTAAGATTCCACACAAATAAACCAACACAACCTTTTTGACAAGTTCATATGTAGTTTACTAACCATTTTTGAAGTGTACCATTTTTCTGTTCTACTGAGGAGGAGATGAAGACGGCGTACCTTTTCACTGAAAGCAACGTTTTCTTTTGGTGCATCATAGAAACAAAAACAAAGCAGCAGCAGCAGTTTCTGAAACGCCCACCAGCCACAGAACAAGAAGAATCTGGTGTTGTATGACAGACAAAATAGCATTCAAAATTGAGATATGTATCCCCCCACGTTGAGGAGATGCCATCTGTTTTTAACTAAAGAAGCCGTACCTGAAATTGCAACTCTGATTTGGTCATTTTTGTGGTGGCCTGGCCTCCAGTTCTTTCTGTGCTCTTTGGAAACACTGACCACAAAAAAATCTTCAGGTCAATACTGAAAATAGAAGTTTTTTGGGGACCCTGTGAATGTGAAGGTCAATTTGATAAATTCACTGACGTACTGAGAATGAGCTGAGATCCGGAAGGATTCAAATGGATATTCCTCAAAAGTTTCAGAGGAATTACGGGTTTGCCACTGAGTCAAGGAGAAAGGAATTGTTGTAAACTTATGACTTTCTTTCCAGAAGATACAAAAAGCCTTCTTTCTGATTGATCTTCTTATCCA